CGTTAACCACCTCACTTTCACATCCACCCACCCCCTTGAGCTGGGTCCAGATTCGCCCTCCAGGCGCCTGCTCACTCTGTCACTACGTAGCAGCTTTGGACTCAGATGCCACCGCGCTGATGAGACTGATGAGGAAGGAGGCCCGCGTGGTGAGGGTGCTAGACTGGGCCTCCATTCCGTCCTTGCTTCTGCCACAGACTCACCGGGGACCTAGGGCAAGTCACGTATCTGTGAAAAGAGGGTGACAATGCTCCATTTCTTCCACCCTTCCTCTGCCCGGCCGGTTTAGACCAGTGGTTTTCAAACTAGACCAGTGATCCAGGACTGGGTCAGGCACTGGGTCTCATTCCTGCAAGGGAATCAGGTGACCAGTGCGGGGGCTCAGGCAGCTTCCTGCCTGTCCTGGCATTACAGACTGCGCTGTGTCCTAGAAGCGGCCAGCAACAGGCCCAGCTCCTACATGGGGTGGGGAGGGGAACATCGCACACTGCCCTTGCCCTGAGCACTAGCTCCACGCTCCCATGGGCTGGGAACCTGCTGCTGGCTGCTTCTGGGGTGCAGCATGGTCAGGCCAGGCAGGAAGCTGCCTTAGCCGCCCTGCTGCACTGCTAACTGGGAGCTGCTCAAGGGAAGCTCCCACTTCCCCAGCCCTGACCCCCCTTCCAAACCTCAGAGCCCCCTTCTTGCAGCCCAAACCTCTCCTCCTCCTCCCCACCCCAGAGTCCACACTCCCGTCACATTATGTGAGGTCATGGGCAGCAACGGGGTCAGGAGACATTTTTTTTAAACTGCTGATTTAGACTGTACGCCCTTGAGAGCAGAGACTGCCCCTCACTAGGCGTCTGTGCCACCTCTAGCAAGCAACATGGTACTGCAAAAATAGTCATTAGAATCATTACTACACGTACCAGTGCTCCAGGGTCGCCTGTGATGCTACACAATATAAACCGCCACCTAAGACTCCCATCATCTTCTCTGATTGCTTTCATGACGGCAGCAAGAACAAAGACAGCAAGTGTGCCAGGCATTCCCCCTCCTCGGAATCCAAAAGGGAGCCCTGATTCCGCGAGTGGCGCCGCAGTTCGGTGCGTGCACCTGCATTCCTCCTTTTGCACCTTAGCTTGTCGCCTGGCATCCCTGCACACACGGTTACATTACATGGAACTGGGCAGTTTAGGAGAATGCATGGGGATTTTGTTTGGCACAGGACCAACTCAAGTGTTACTTATTACACACACACACACACACACACACACACACACACACACACACACACACACCCTGTTTTTTGCACAATAGCACATTACATGGCATTGTTTCAGCATCATCTACAGTACACACACTGGCCTTGGGTTACATAGCGCACTCACAAAACACAAACTACAGATGAAAAGCAGATGCCCAGGGGAAAGGCGGAGGACTCAGAAGAGGTGTTTTCAGCTGAGATTTCCAAAGGGCTAAACATGTGGCTGTTCCCTTAAGCACCTGCTGAATATTTCTGCTAACCTCAGTCCCTGAAAGCCAGTCTTACCTCCCTCAGTGCTAAATGTTCTTATCAGCCTCTTGAAGTGGGCTGTGCCCATGAAAGCTCATGATACCATCTACATGTTTTGTTAGTCTGTAAGGTGCTGCTAGACTAGTCGTTGTTTTTTAATTTTTTTCCAGTTACAGTCTAATTTTCAGCTACCCCTCTGAAGCTTCAGAAATACTTAGCAGAGTTAAAAACAGAAAGACAAGAGGCACCTGCCCATGCTCATGGGGACAAAATCCATCCCCTCTCCCCCGGGACCAGAAGAGAACTAGGAAGGGTGCAAAGTTTTCAAGTGTTTTCAAGTGCAAAGCCTGAAACAATTCTGAGCAAACTGCCCAAGGCCGCAGGCCGGTCTACACGCAAACACTCACCCCTTTTGTTAAGTCGCTGCAAGCTCCTGTTCTTTTGGGGTAAGAGCGTCCACACATCGCTTTGCATCAGTTTAAATATATCCACCCCAACCTGCCATGGCTTAATCCAGGCCTCCGTTAGGAGCAATTCGCTAGAAGAGGAACATCGGTATGCTCCATCGCAGCAGTTCCCAACCTTTTCCAGATGGGGACCCATTTTGACAATTCAGGAAGACTTGGTGACCCAGAGCAATTAAAAAACGGGGGGAGGAGAGGGGGCAGAGCCCCCTGGGGAGCCACTTGGCGACCCTTTTGAAATGTAATGGCGACCCATATTTGGGTCCTGGCCCATAGGCTGGGAAACCCTGTTCCATCAGCAAGGTGCTCTGAGTGTGGACGTGGCTTATACCCCAAAGCTGCCTCTTTGCTGGTATCACTTATTCCAGCCCCCTGAGCAAAACACAAGCACAGTCGTGCTGCTCTGGTTGCATCTGTACAAGGGTCTTTGGGAAGCAGCACGATGCTGGGTAAAATTCACTTCTCCTCACTCCCCTGACCAACAGTGCCTGCTGGCAAAAGTTTGCAGTATAGACCTACCCTGAGAGAAGCCAGCGTGAGTCAAAAGCTGATGCGCTACCTGCTCACTGAGCAAAGCAGGGATGAAATAGAGAACTAGGAATCCCGGGGCCGTGTGCCGCACCGTCTGGGCAGATGACGAAGCCCCGTGCCAAGGACGCGTCTATAAACACAAGCTCCCGAAAAGGTTCCCACCACTCTTGTCTAACTGGCCTCCTGGATTGCACATCTGAACCCCACAGAGCCCCGAAGTCCTGGGCTGCCCCTCCAAAGCCGATAGAAAAACAAGTTTCTCCAGCTTTGTTTGGGGGCAGGACAGAGGATAGGGGTGAGGATGGGGGACTTGTGCTTTATCTGATCCAAGAGTTCCAGCAAGCTGAGCTGTGGACTAATTTGCAATCTCTCTTCCACAGTCACTGGAGAGAGGGATCCGGAGGCTAGAAAGGGCTGGGACAGGGACAGGAGAGATGCAGGAAGGACTCCAGCCGCACAACCCTAGGGCATGCTATCGGGCTGCCCCCACAACCTGGTGCTGCTCCGCTGCTCACACAACGTGCCCCGGTGGGGCTGTAATGCAAGGTTCTCTGCAGCATATAAAAGCGACTTGGGGAAGTTAAAATTGGGAGGTGTCCTTCCCAAGAGCAGGGCTGTCTGTGTTTGGCAAAACGTGATTATTCTGTCTGTGATTTGCTTTACCGAGACCCCGAAGGTCTGGGTAAACCTCCAGAGCCTGAGCTGAGAGCAGAGAACCTGGCCTTTCTTGAGAGCATATTTTACTCCCTGTTGTTTAAACTTTCTCTCTCTTTGCCCCATCCCTCCTGTCTCCCTGTTGGATGTTCCATTTATGCCCCCGGAATTGGTTTTGTTTTTTTTTGGAGGGTGGGGGAGCAGAGGTCTATCTGAGTGCAAACCTGTGCAGCCTTTTTCATGCCCTGGTGTTTTACCCAGATGGTCCCATGGTCAGGTGTTTGCCTAGGCTGCAGAAGAGGTAGATTCAGTTTCCTGCTTTCCTACAGATGTCTGATGTGAGTTTGGGCAAATCCCTCAGTCTGTCCGTGGCTCAGTTTCCCCATGTGACAAGGGTGGGGAGAGCCCTGCCTCACTAGGGCTACGACTAGACTGCAAGCCTCTTTCGAAAAACAGCATCCAGACTACAACCAGTACTTTCGAAAAAGCAAGCCACTTTTTCAAAAGAGAGCACTCAGGCAGTCTGGATGCTCTCTTTCGAAAAAGCACTGTTTGGATGACATAGCGCCTTTTTTTGGAAGAGTACTTTTGAAAAAAGGTGTTATTCCTCGTAAAACGAGGTTTTCCGCTGTTGAAAAAACTGCCGCGTTCTTTCGATTTACTGTGGACGAAACGCGGCTGCAGTCTAGACGCAGGTAAAGATTTTTTTGAAAAAAGGCCACTTTTTTCGAAAAATCCCTGTAGTCTAGACACACCCTAGGAGTGCTGAGGGCAGACTCAGTAAATATCCCGACCTGCTCAGGGCATAAATTAATAATAATTAATAATAAAATAATAATTATTAATAATAGGAATAATAGACTGACCGAAATAATAGGAACCTTTGATACCCCAGTGCAAGCCGGCCATCTCTCAGGGGTCTCAGCTGGCAACAGTCACAGACCAGCTATGCCTTTGAGCAGTCCTGACTCCTGGGCGTTCTCCCGCGGAGCGCATGGACCCGCAGGCAGGAGACAAAGGTTTCCAGCGGTTCTCCATGCAAACAGCGATGAGCCTACCGGCGCCAGGCAGGGAGAGAACACTCTGTGCCCTCCACGTTTGCCAGCAGCACTGTACTTCACATGCCCACCTGGCCCAAGCAGGTTCTCCCAAGGGCCTGGCTCTCCATCCCAAGGGAATCCCGTAGCCCTAGGTTTGCAGGAGACAACAGGACTCTGTGGGGCAGAAAGTCCCCAAACTCCCAGAGTTCTGCCCTCGTCTAGCCGTAGGCAGCTGGCACCGAGAGCCTTTTGTGCCCTGCACAGTGAGCTCTTTTCTCCACATTCTGAATTAGCCATGGCAATGTAACTATGCAAATAGTTTCCTACTCCGTTAACTATGCTCCTGATTGTTCAGCTCCCCATGACACTTGCTACCGTCTTTCAACGTCAGGGTGGAACTGGCAGTGGCAGTACCGGCCAGTTGCAAAGTGCTAGGCTCCTGCGCTGGAGCTGGTGGGGTGTTGTGGCTGGACCAGCAGCAGCAGTAGCAGCGGCTGACTTTAAGAGCCTATTATCTATATGCTGAATAAACTCTCTTGGTGTCCTACCCTAAGATCTGTCATGCAAAGCACAAGCAGAGAACAGAACACAATCACCTCCCTTCCCCGTAACGCTTCTCCCAGGTCAGTGGTGGGGGGACTGAGGAAATCCCACCAGGGTTTGCCGTAATTCCTTACAGCTTTCCATTGTCCGAATTCATTAGCCATATTGCATGAGGCAAGCCTGCAAGTCAGAAGCGGACGAGGCTCTCAGTCCTAGCTAGGAGCCCGCCGTGCGAAAGCTTAATCAAACAAACATGCACGGTGAAACCCTTACCTCTCAGTTGTCAGCCACTCATGACTGCTGAAGAGACTCTTCGAATGTCTCAAAATACTTGCACAAGAACAATTTCCAAAACCCCTCTGTTCCTCCAGGGAAAGTGACACGCGAGTTTCTGTCAAAAAAAAAAAAAAAAAAAAATTCCCTGCGAGTTCACTGGGAAGTCTGGTGCAGCGGGGCTTCTGCGGGTTGTGTGGCTGGTTGGTTTTGAAGCAGATTTCGAATAGCCCACAAACTCTGCGGAGAGAAACGGTCCCTTCTGGGATGTGCAGGATTTCAGCTCGTAAAGATTGCCCAGGCTGGTTTACACTCCATCAGCCCCCACTGCTCCCTGTCTATGTGATCAGATCAGAGCAAGTGGGACTTCCATACCGCCTGCCCACAAGGCCGGAGACGCCGTCCTCATTCAAGGAGTCTATGGTGGCGGGGCTTTTTAATTATTATTATTACCAGAGGATCCAGCTTTGTGAAAGCATCTTGTGCAAACTCCAGCATGAGGGAATTCCACCCTACTAGTACCACCTCCTAAGACAATATCCAGCCAAAATATTGTGACTGTTGCAAAACCCGGACTGGAGCGCGCCAAAGGACCATCCGATGTAACATCCAGAGCCAAGAGTGTCTCAGTAAATCGCTGCAGAGAGGGCTCTTTGTAGTCTGGTTTATTTATGACGCCTTACTTACATTTCAGTGGTAACTGGCAGGGGAAGTCTTCAGCCGCCGCTATTGCATCGGTTAATAAACATGACAAATATTAAAAGCAGCTTGTTATCCTCTCCGGGGGTGTGTGTGTGTGTATGTGTGTGAGAATCTAAGCCGACGAGCGTAAAAGCCTAGTTATTTTTCAGCCTGCAACTGGGCAACAGGAGGAAGGAGTCGTGCGTAGGAAGTTAAAAAAGATTTTCTTAGGAAAACAACCCTGCTGTTGCGGGGAGCTGGGCCTCCATACCTGTGGGCCATGAAATCGAATCTGCACCCATTGCTGCCTTTCCTCCGTTCCTCCTCATTCCTCCTCCATGCAGTATCCCCTTCCTTGCCTCTCATTTACATGGACCGAGAGCAATGGCTAACCTCTATTTAGCATCACGGATGAATTCCATCATGCTAGGAAACCAGGGAGCACAAGTGTCCAATCAGTTTTCCCTGCCTCCGTTGCTGCATTGCCCAGGCATCTACGCCCAGTGTCATCCGTGGCAAACGCCCCCCTGGCTTTGATGGCAGCAGGGTCGTGCCAAAGGCCGGGCTATGGTGCAAGGATGTGTCACGGCATGACCGGCAGCCACCCTGCGCTGGGCTGCGTGAACCCATCGGATCCTGCAAGGCTGGGCCTGCCTGGACCTGGACTGGGAGCTCTCCAAGAACACACAACCTGGAAGCCTGGGTAATTTGTGCTCATTAAAATTGTCATGTGGGAGGTTATCCCCTGGGCCCTGGCCAGCTTTCACATTGGGCAACTGCATTCTGCATACCTAACGCCTCCGTGCCCTTTTCCTTCCATGCAGAGTTCTCCTCCGCTCCCTCTCCGACTCTGCAAGGGTCCCACCCAACAAGGGCCTTCATTTCCACAGTCGGGGGTGGGGAAGGCGGGCGATCCAGCTGGCTAGAAAACGGGCGTCGAGTACTTTGGGAATGTTTGAGAGCAAGGAGATTCTTACTGCCAGCACTGCAGGCCAGTGTTTCCTGTAAGCTGGGACCTTGGGCGGCCAATCCAGAGGGATTCCAGCGCCCCTCAGCTGATTAGTGGAGTCCCCCGCAGCCCGGTGTTTTGTTTCCATTGGTGGTGTATATTTGCTCATGCCCCGGTGCAAATAAAATTATTCCGCATATGAGTGGGGAAAAAAATCTGCACATTGCTGGAAAAGATTAAGGGGAACATTGCTGCTGGCCCCACATGACGCTCTCCTCAATGTGTCGGTGTCACCTCCCAGCACTATGTCCTATGCGGGGTGTGTGTGTGTGTGCGCGCGCTGTCTGTGTTGTACTATATAACTTAAATGACCCATCCAGTCTAAATGAAACCCAGCAGCCGTAAAGCACCTGTCTTTCCCCCTCCCCTACCAGCCAGCAGAGGAGCATAGGCCAATGAGCTGGACAGGTTCTTTGTTTCATGTTGGGGGAGCAGCCCTGGCAGCAGCTGCCCGATCCTCTGGCCCTAGTGGGTTAAAAGTCGCCTGCCCCAGTGCTGCTATTTCTAAACTGCACAACGCTCTACACAAAGTGTTTCCCTGGCACCAGCGAGGCCGGATGGCTGGCGGAGATGGGACTCCCCTTGTGGGTCCATTTCCTGCCCTGCATGCACAGACAACATCAGCCCCGTGAGGCGGGGACCATGACGCCTGCCGTGGGGAGTCCAATACCTCCAGGAGCTGGCAGGAGTGCTGCTCTCGGAGAACGGAGTCCCCCACGTTTCAACCACCTAGAGCAGCCATGAACATCCTGGCCTGCTTGCGGGCTGCTGGGGAGCCCTCGGTAGGTCAGTCACCCTCGCGGGGCACTGTGCCCACGTCGCCCCCCTTTGGAGCCAATAGCGTGAAATGGGGGCAAAGCTCCAAG